AAGAAAAGAAGATAATTCATAAAATATTATCTTCAAAAATATTTTTTTCTTGATTCTGTGATGTCTTTAAATCGTTTTCAAGCCGTATCTCTAACTCAATAATGAACCAATATCTTCTTCAAATACACCTCTGTGAAGTATTTTGCATGAATATATGTCGTATTTTATTCAATATTCACCGAGATATTAGCCTGGTAAGCCTGGGAGGCATTAACCAGAACCTACGATGTAGGTGGTTACAAAGAAGAAAATACGTATACGTATATATCGAGGAAGAAATGATTCATTTCTACTGAGGAAGCTATGGTGTTGTTACAAGCAAACAAACAAACAAACCAACATATATACATACATGCGGGTGGAGCTGATAAAAGCGTGTTACAAAAATATGAGTGAAAATTATTTAATTATTTTCATGAATAGAGAAAAATTGAATTTTCTCAGAAGCCCAATGTGAAAATTTTCAAATTCATTCAAGTGATACATGATGAATTTTATAAGTTCGTACTTCCATTGTCTGATATGAGTCCACTATGATTCGAAATCTATGAAAAAACAAATGAAATCAGAATGAATAGCTGAAATATCAATTAAACTAAGCAATAAAACCTGAAATGGAAATATAATGAAACGAATAAAGTGATCAAGATACAAAATGAAAAAAAGAATAGAAATGAGAAATAATTCAGAATAAATTAAAAAAAAAATCATTTTGCCTCACTCAACATAGTTCCTAAAATTCAGAACTTGGTTAAAACAAGGATATGCATAGTCCCATTTGTTGACGTGCAATTCATAACACTGTTGAGGATATGGTATAGAACAAGAACCTTCACGTCTTGTGGCAAATCCCTCAACCACCGATAGGATAGAGTTCTCCTGGACGAAAATTTTGATCACCGAAAACAGCCAGTCACATTTAGAAAGGGCGTGTTTCTCAGTCTACTTCATTCTGTCTCTCACTATTGTCATTATTGTTGTGTATATAATTACTGGGAGTATATGTAGTATATGCAGTTTATAGTTGGAAGTGGACTTGGGGTAGAAACCACCCACTATTAAAGGTATCAAAGGCAGTAAAAAACTCTGCGGTAAGTATCAGCACAATCTCTGACAGATCTGGCCATTGGAATCATCAGAACTGGATACAACTGCTTCTATGAATAAGCTTGCTGTTCCATTCATTCAATACTATTTGGAACTGATAGTTCGTACCGGAACCTCTGGCGTGAAATGTATCTATTGAAAATACTTCACCAACAATAGAACGAAAATTAAGGTCTCTCAATGAATGCGTGTTTCGCTAACCAAGTTAGCGTCCTAAGGACGCATGATGATCTCCTGAGATAGCTAATTGGTTAACGAAACGCCCGTCGAGAGACCGTGATTTTTGTTCTGCTATTAGGATAGTATTTTCAATAGATACCCTTTGGAGTAGTAGAGGAAACCTGTGAATAGCTGTACCAATTTTATAAGAAAAAAATTATGCACCATCGTAAGAATTTGCATACTAAATCATCTATCCTATGGTTGAAGAGAAGGCCGAAGGCCGTGGAGTTTTGAGTTTAGAGTATATCAAAAAATAGTTTGCAGGGGGATCCCTCAAGTGAATTTAAATAAGAAATCAAGAGGTTCATGAATGCCGGTCAGGTTGACGCATTCAGCACCTTGGTCTACCATAATCGCGTTATGAGTTTAGAATTTTCTGACACCAGATGCAGAGCCTGTATCTGGTGATCCTCATGCATTCGTCATCAACATATTCAGCATAAACCATCTCAATCTATGCGAGCCGACCCAACTAGTAATCGCGACGGCTGTATATCTAAAAAGCGAATATCTTAAAAAAAAAAGAAAATTTACCCTTTGAACTTCCGCTGATTCAAAAATTTCTATAGGAACCATCGGCAGAATGATGCCTTCGCTTCTTTTGAATCTGAAAATGATTACAGCTAGCGCTAGAATGTTGAAAATCACAGCCGGAAAAATACAGAAGGCGATATTCTTGGTTTGCTAATAAATCTCATGGTACACAATTTTCGGACCAGTAATCACTTGGTATTGATCTTTTTTACCATAGTCTACATCACGTCTCCCAAAAACTGGACACACGAAATAAATGTTACCAAATTTGGGGCGTATTCTCCCATAGTCTTGCAAAATAATTCCTGGCGTTGAAATATAAGCTTGTTTTATCTGGATGTGTTGATAAATGATGTTGATATTGGTGCTAAAAAGTCGAATATTCTATAGATCCATTCATCCTAGGATTATTCATACTTTTTCAGATGTAGAAAGGTTGCAGTTTTAATTTCATTCTAATAGGTTACTGCGAAAATTCAAAGTATATTTTTCAACGAAACTTGTTGTTGATGATAACTTCCACGATAGAAAAAGGTTCTGAAATTATACCTATTTCGACATTCTTGAGTCTTGAATCAGTCTTCGTCTTCAGAACAGCAAATGAACAAATATAAATTGCAGATTTTCCCTTTGATTCGCTTTATTTCCAAATTTCTTCGACGGATGTCAAAATATTTTCGAAATGTAAAATATATCAATGTCGTTGATTGACATCTAAAACATTCGATTTGGAAAAATGTTTTCTGTGATATTGGTCTATCGTAATTTCGCCACTATTCATATTTTTCTCCAAGATGGGTGGCCAAGTACGATCCCATTCTGAAGAGCCGACTGAAATACACTCACTTCTTTCCTGATTCAGATATACTGATTCTTTGAGCTCACGTCTCTCAGTGTGTGATTCACTGGCGATCATTTTGGTCTTTTTCTCGATGGTCTTATACATCATATCCATTTCGTTAGAACATGTTAAAAGAATCATTGAAAACAATAATCTTTCCTTGGGTATTTTTGTGACATTTCCATGGCTTCTGGTTAAGTTGACCATGATATGCTTCTGAACAAACTTGAGTACTAACTCGGTATCCCTGAGAGATGGTTCAAAAAACATTATTCTACTGAAAGGATGTATGTGAGAATTTAATCAACGATGATATTATAACCCTATCTTGTTAACAATCAACAATAATTTTTCAGAAGCAACAATGTCACTCTTTCCTAGCAACATCAGCCTCATTGACCATCATAATGATATACAGTTGCTAATTTTTCTCTCACAACATTTTCAAATACGTCAGAGCCAACAAACTATTTCTAGACGTGTGTAAAATTCGACAAATTCACATCAATCCTTACAAAAAAATTACGATATAGAGATCGTGTTTGTGACTCATCTGTAGGTACAACCTCGATATAATCGATACAAAAACAAGCAATCAAAATAGTTCTTGGGTTGAATCGTAAAAACTGATACAGGAATAATTTTGAAAACAACAAAATTTCCACAACTGTATATACTGTTATTGAAAATTGTAAACACATTACAATGACACCAAATTCATATAATAAGAATAAGTTCAAACATTCACTGCACGAATACTTTCCCTTCTCCTCAATCTTCCGAACTCTCTAAGAATGCTGTGTTGAAGGTCCTCAATATTTTGATATTGCCTCTGACCATAAACTCTATTTTTCAGTGTACTCTATAAGAATGTATCCATAACACTTAGGTCTGGAGACTTTGCTGGCCACCTCATCGGCCCGTTAGTTTCTATACATTTATCATCAAGCCTTTCAGTTATGTAATTAGATATTCGTCTGGTAGTGTGCGGTGGGGTACCATCATGTTGAAACCAGATGTTGTTATAGTTAGCCAAAGGTAAGTCATCCAAATAGTTTTCGAAAATCGACATTAAAAACTAGTGACAGGTTTCTCCATTCAGATTTTCGTCAAATAATGAGGACTCAAAATTCTATCTTTGTAAAGTCCTGCCCAAACGTTAATACTAGATCGCACTTGAGGTCGAATTTTCCTGAACTGCCTGGGATTGTTTATGCTACAAATGTGTTCGTTATTTCGGTTGAATATCCCACAATTCGTAAAAGTAATTTCATATGTCCAAATTACATTCTTCAGGAAAGCAGGAAAATCAGGTCTCCTTATTACCCAATTAAAAAATTCTAATCGCCTTTCGAAATCACCTGAATGCAATTTTTCGGATATGTGTATTTTGTAATATTTCAAACCGCTTTTTGGAGATGTCTCCAAGCACTTGTATGACAAATATTTATTTCGGAGGAAATTTGACGTGTAGATTTTCCCGGGTTCATGTTCATCCGCAAATAATTAATTTTCATTGAAAAGGACTCAATGTCTAACTTACCTCATACATACTTCATTTATCAAATTTTTTTTAGCTTCCTGGTCCATTCTGTCTCCGTATTTATTCCTCGGCTTTTCAAATGAACCAAACTCGGTGAGATTTTGATCCATTAACTTGAACATACTTCGATGTGGTTTTCGTCTTTTGGGATACAAGTTCGAAAACATTTCCTATGGCCTAACACTGTTTCTATCGTATTTGTAATAAATTTGTATCATTTCTATTTTTTATACGAATGAAAGCCAAAAAATCAATGACTTGTACAATAACAAAATGTCGTTGAGTGTATCAAATTGAAAGTCAAATTTAGGAACATCAAAGTCAAAGCTTATTATGATAAGAATTAGTTTTTTCAATATGTTCAATTTTTCGAAAAAAAATTATAACTTATAATACAATATGATTAAAAAAGTAAAATCTGGTTTCATTCAAAACAGAAAGAATCTTGTATAGGGCCTATAAGAAAAAATTAAGTTGATGGTGTTGGCCGGAAGACGAAACGTCAGATAGCAAATCTGTAAACACCCTTATGTAGCAGGAAAAAGTGGCAATGTGGAAGTGCAATATATTTTCGAATCTTTCGAAAAATGAAGCATTAAAAAAATTAAAACCATTCTCTCAACGTCATATTGTTACTCAGGTGAATGCGCAATTCTGCCCCAATTCAACCACTTATCGATCATAGTTTCCGTGATTCCAATGTTGAGGATCGAATTTGAAACACCCTTTTTATGTTACAGATTGCTGCTACCGATTGCATAATCACCATTCTCACTGAATCATCAGCATTATCTAGTGTAAAAAATGTAGTATTTATAATTCGAAAAATGGGTATTCCATCTATCAATCTATTAATCATTTACTGATCGAAGGTGGCCTATACTTCCTATGAGTCGGCTATTGAAAAGGTAATCAATAAAATTTACTGAAATATGTTTTACCTACCCATCGTTGATTCATTCAAAGTAATTTAAAAGCAATTACTTGATCTCAACTGAGGCGTCTGGTTTCATAACTGATAAGTTACAAAATTGTTTTCGATATGAAAAATGTAATATGCCATTTATGACAGTTTCGTTTATTCTAATCTCATAATACGTAATTTTTGCACCAATCTATTTTTTTACAATCTAAACTGAGAACAATTCAGTCAGCAGAAACTTCATTCGAAAATGAAGTTTGTGAAGATCGAATCGTCTTCAGTGTAGTTTGTGAAATTACTATGGATCTTCATCAAGTAAAGGCCAAGTCAGTCAGAAAAAAAAGATGATCTATTTTTACTTGATGATTTATTTTTACTGAACTTTGAAATATCAGAATGTGTCGGCCCGCTTTTGGGAATAATTACATCAATTTGTTTGAATCGTCATTTGAATTTTTGTACGTATTTTTTATAGACACTTCACCAGCTCAGCGCCTTCGCCTTTTCTTAATGGAAAAAAATAAAAAACATGAAAGTCACCCCCTATTTTCGGAAATTGAAAAGCTTGTTATAGAAGGTGATGATGTTAAGTGGAGAGAGACTGCCAGATGGATGAAATTTGAAGAAGACGTTGAAGAAGGTAATAGGTGGTCTAAACCTTATGTTGCAACCCTTTCTTTGCAATCACTCTTTGAATTGAGACGGCTCATAACTACGGAAAGCGTTATATTCGATATGGAGGCATCTTCCATGGAGCAGATTGCAGATTTAGTTTTGGAGAATATGGATAATGATAACAGATTATCTGTGGAGCAGAAGAAAAAAGTGAGAGAGACTTTGTTGAAGGAACACAGACATCAGCATCAGCAAGGGTTGCCACTCAAGAAATCCCTCAAAAACAAAAAAAGTACGTCAAATCAATAATTAACTGAGATACATTTTTCGTAGAACCATATTATTTTTGTTTCCGAAACTATCAAATCACTTAAATATTTTTCAACAGAATTTTGATGTTCTACATAAATCTAACTCATGATCGAATGGAATCGATGAAACTGAATTTATCTGTTCTAGTGAAGTTTTCTATTCATGTAATAATTCGAAAACGAATTTTGCTGTGATGCCTTTGTCAGTTTCGCTATATTCAAACATAATGTCAATAATGATTCAATGGACATATAAATGCATGCGCACCAATTTTCTGTATTGAAAAGTCCACAAATTCAAACCATAGTTGCAGAATGGATTGTATTGTTGAATCATGAACTGTCATCAAATTTTCAATTCCAACTAGTTATTCCATGATATAATTTCTATTGGTTGCTTAAGCTAAGAATTTCAAAACTCTCATCATTTTTTGGGATAGAAAGGTTTTGGACTCCTAGTTTCCCAAGCCCAGATACGAATGAGTTAACAAATAATGTTATTCTCCAATTTGATAACTGGTGTAAAAGGAACTGTTTGATCACAAATTATACCAAAACCATTGCGGTTCAATTCCAGAGATCCAAAACAGGAAAACTTTCCACAGAACAACTGAACATTAATAATCAGAAAATAATATTTCAAAAAAGTTGTAAATTTCTAGGTACAATTGTTGATAGTTATCTTAGATGGGAAGAATGCATCACTATGATCTACTCCAAATTGAATAAACACTACTTCGAAATAAAAAATCTGATAAGTTGCCTTGATGCGAAGGGTATAATTGCTGTGTATATTTATGGATTTCAATGTTTATATGAAAATAGCTGTTTCAGATGGGATTTTTCTTTCAGTTTGTGTCTGAAAGTTACTTCCTTGCATGATCTACACATCTATGTATAGAGATACTTCTTTTGAAATTGATTGATTTGGAAGATTTTCCAATTTTTCTATATTTTATATTTTGGTATATTTTATATACCAAAAAATTAGTCACTGCTGAAAATAAACCCCTTCCAGTTCGAAAAATCTGAATATGATTGTTATGAATGTTTTTTTTTTATTTCGAATTTAAATCTTCAATATTTCACATAGGAAACTAACAAATAATATAATGCTTTATTATTGTGATGTTTGATTATTGTCAGGAATATCAATATGGAATTATGTACAAAAATACATACTTCAGTTATAATATACTTGAATTGAACACGAATTTTTGATTTCCCTAATGATGTGTGGAAAATAATCCCATTTGCAGCACACCAGATCAATAAGTATATTCGGTTTTTGAACTTCAATGTCTTATTTATTTCTAAACTTTAAAATAACCGAAGTACTATTCGAAAATGTAATACAGGTTCTAGACACCAAGAAGATGATGGTTATTCTACGAAAAAAGAGAAAAACAACCAAAGAAAATATAAGAGCAATATGTCATTCATGCGGAAAATTCCTTCAGGAGCGGAGGCGACAAATATTTTAGTGGGGGAGGTGAATTTTCTTGACAAACCGATGTCAGCTTTCATCAGACTCAATACAGGAGTCATACTTGACAATCTCACAGAGGTACCTTTACCAACAAGATTTTTGTTCATACTCATCGGACCATATTCTCCAACTGCAGGTTAGAATCGTATATATAATAAATCAGTCAGTATTTTTCTCCGAACAATCATCATAAATATATCACTTAGGGTATAATGAAATTGGCCGTGCAATGGCAACTCTCATGTCGGACGATATCTTCAGCGAAGTGGCATATGGTGCGCATAAAAAAGATCATCTAATAATGGGACTGGATGAATTTTTGAGTTCAGTCATTGTGCTTCCACCTGGAGAATGGGATTCTGCAATTCGAATCGAACCACCAGCAGACATTCCTTCTCAAGAATTTCGAAAACGACCTCCAGAGGATTATAATATAATTATCGACGAGGTGGAAGAAAAAGAAAAACTTAGGGAGGAAACTGGTCTGGCAAGAACAGGGGTAAAATCATTGAATCCTGTAAATATCTCTTAATCAACATATAACTATTTCCAGATTCTCTTTGGAGGTTTGAAAAATGACTTGAAACGGAAAGCTCCATGGTATTGGTCCGACTTCAAAGATGCTTTAGCCCTGCAATCGATAGCTTCGTGGATATTCCTCTATTTTGCTTGCCTTTCGCCAATCATCACTTTCGGTGGATTACTTTCTGAAGCAACTGAACGGCATATGGCCGCTATGGAATCACTTGTAGCTGGGTGCATCTGCGGTATTCTTTATGGTTTCTTCTCCGGACAACCGCTGTCTGTTTTAGGATGCACGGGTCCAGTTTTGGTCTTCGAAATCATCGTCTACGATTTCTGCCAGACTATGGATTGGGACTATTTATCCTTCAGGTTTTGGATTGGTACCTGGATTGCCGTAATTCTTCTATTTTTGGTTGCTATCGATGCTAGCGCTTTCGTGTGCTACATAACAAAATTTACAGAAGAGAACTTCGCCACATTGGTTGCCTTAATATTCATTTACAAGGTGAGTATTCAATGGAGTAATGATCAAAAACTGTGGATTCAGTTCAAGTAATTCAATTATGTTCATGCTAATTTCCCACCTGAAAATGAGTTTCATCATGAAATACCCCATTAAAATTTGACGCTGCATGGAAAATTCATTTCATTCATATTTATATTAGTAACTACTTCTTTTCTATAAATTCAAATTATTTTTCCTGATACTGGAGTAATTCTAAATGAACAAAATTTATTTCATTCATATTCATATTAGTAACTACTTTTTTTCTATAAATTCAAATTATTTTTCCTGATACTGGAGTAATTCTAAATGAACAAAAAGTTTTCACTAACTATCTCTGTAAAAAAGCATCCGCGCTGAATTGAATTTAACCCTTATTGTATTCTCATTCATTTGCACAAGTGAATCTCGCGACAAGCTTACATATCATGAAAATTGTATTATTCAATAAACTGATGTGTTCCTTTCAAGCTTCTATTTGATAAATTGATGGATATAGCCGTTACCACGTGGTGGGAGATCATAATGAAAAGAGAAATGAAAATTTTCATATTTTTTACGACTTTTATTTGTAGTTAACGTTACTGCAGTTCTGTCCTATATGGACATTCTCAAACTTATACAATAAACTAACAATGATTCATTACACCGGAGAGTAAATTTACTTAAATTACTTAAATTGGCACGGCACATTGGCATTGTGAATTGTAAATTCAGGTACTCAATCAAGTACCTGAATGGTATATATTGGCGAATGTAATGAATCATTGTTAGTTCATTGTATAAGTTTGAGAATGGCCATATAGGACGAAACTGCAGTAACGTTAGTTACAAATAAAAATGGTAAAAAACATAGAAATTTTCATTTCTCTTTTCATTACTTCTATTTAATTATATGCGAGCGTTTTCGACAGCTGGTCGTGCTATCATCATCTAAGCTCTACTCAAACGGAACGTGTTATCCTGTTGTATGTCGTTTTATACGATCCGAACGCCTAAATACAGGTACTCCAGGTTATTTAGGAAAATTTGCCTGTATTGGGGTTACATCAGGTACTATTCTTTGTGTTGGATCTTCTCTGGGTCTACTGTTTCTAGGAATGTGTATTGATTTGTTTAATATATTGAATGCTAGGTCTTGTTGTGTTTTGATTTGTACCTGTTCCTCGATAAGTGATTTATGAATGTTGAATTTATGGATGTTTGAGTTTTCCCAAAGGTCCATATGGTTTCCCTTATTGACTTGTTTCATGAGTTTTATGTTCTCTCATCACATCACACCTGCCGTTATGAAACCCTGTTCGTCGCATCGGACTTCTGGCCTCCCCGACCTGAACCCTAGGGATTTCTAGGTCCATTTCTGGTCGAAGCGCGACGTCAGGCTTTCTTGTGGCTAGCTCATTATAGATCTTTATTTGTTGGATCAACTGTTTCTGTTCTTGGCTCATGAGAAGTGTCCGGGTAGCACACTGGCCCTGCCATGAAGCCACCCCTGAGCCTCTCTCGTTTTCAAGGTGACCCCCTGGCCTTCCACCATCCCCTAACTCTTTCGTTAGGATGCCAGTTTCGAACTCCTTCGAAACGTGATGCGCTCCTGCGCGCAATACGTCCCATTTCTCCCAGGGTCCGTCTGGGGTCATCGCGACGCCTGGCGTCGGACGTCCTTTACTGCGTCGGTTTCCATTGTTTCACGAGCCTGTCCATTCTCCAAGCCATTTCTCCGTTTAATGCCCGCCAGCGACCCTACCTCGAGTTCTCCAACTCCAAGCTGTCCTACATCGTTTCTGAGTTTAACGCCCGCCGACTATTCGTTGTAAAACCTGACGTTGCTTGTTCTCTTCAAATTTGTGAGTGGCACAGGATGGCTGTACACCCTGTACATCGTTACTTTAGGTTTTTTCACGTGAGTGGCCACCATTTCCGTAGATCTGAAATTGTTCCTGTTAGGCGGAATCCTCCAGCCGGTTCTCTCCGTCGGTTAAATTCGTCGATTTGGGCTGTTGTTGGGAAACTTCTCGGGTAACATGTTCCCTGGTGAAAGTTTCGTCGTCCATCCTCAGTTTGTTAGGAGTATTTAGTGCCTTGAATCGGTTTAGAACACGTTGACTTGCCGAAATTTTATCGCGATTTGAGATCGTAGTCCTTTGTGACATTTCGCTGTTATTAACTAATCGATTTACAGTTGAGCCGAAAGTGCTAGGGTGT